GATCCACTGACAGGTAGCTGGTGACACGCTGAGCTGGGAGAGTTTGGAGGAGAGATGTTCAGGCACAATGGTGTTAAAAGCCGAACTAAAGTCCACAAACAGGACCCTGGCATAAGTTCCCGGGCGGTCGAGGTGTTGCAGGATGTAATGCAGCCCCATGTTCACTGCATCATCCTGTTTGCCCAGTAGGCAAACTGCAGAGGGTCCAGCTGGTGGCCTGTAATGTCTTTATATACTTCTAAGCATAAATGATTATATGTTTCTAAGCATAAATGACAATCTAACAATACAAACCTAACATTTAGACACTGTGAAAACTGAAGAAACACAAAGTTTACTACCTAAATATATCTGACCTTATCAAAGTCGGTCATGTTAGTGTCCATAAATAGGCTTGAGCAAGCAGAACAAGAAAAATGTAATATAACGGATGTTACTGAAAATGTCCTTTTATTGCCAGTGTAAACAAATATACAAGATTATATACACAATATAAATGAGAACCATTACCATTTGCACCTCTTGGACCACATGCAGAATAACATTACTGTTGTGGCTGTAGCCACATCCCTAGTTCTGTATCCATACTAGTTCTGACCCACAATGTCACGGTTGTGCTCTCAGCTAAACTCTGGTCATGTGATCATCACAAACTGTACCTCAAACCAACTTTACAGCACTTTAAACCTTTAACAAAACCCTTATTTTGTAATCACATATTTTAGACAAGTTTCTAATGAATGCTACGCTTTTTATTATCTTATCCAATACATTTTTAACCCTTTCTAACAAATAAATGAATTAAATTAAACACGAATCTATCAGATAAATTTATAAAACAAACACCCTTTTCCTGCGTCTGTCAGTGCGCCCCAGGGCAGCTGTGGCTACAATGTAGCTTGCCATCACGTGTGTGTGAATGACTGAATGTAGTGTAAAGCGCTTTGGGGTCCATAGGGACTAAGTAAAGCCCTATACAAATACAGGCCATTTACCATTTACCTGGTTATAACTACCTAATCAGCTCACCCATATATTAAAATGACTTTAAGACACTGTCTAAAGTTTTTCTCAGTCAATAAAAGTATTTTAAAAGTTGCTGTCCTGTGTTGGTATCTGTTTTACATTTGGATTCAGCTTGGTCCTCACAGTGGTTGGGAAAAGAAGAACAGATTCTCTGGAAATTGCCTTGAACCCTTTTGTGAAAGCACATGTAAACTGAAACACTAAGGCTACGTTCACACTGCAGGTCTTAATGCTCAATTCCGATTTTTTGATCAAATCCGTCTGCTCGTTCACACTACAAATAAAATGCGCTCTAGTGTGAACGCTCAAAGCGGCCCGCATGTGCAAAAGAAGATGTCACACACAACGCGCTCTGTTTAGACCCAGAGCAAACAGTATTGTTTGACTGATGGCCCTTAATATAAAGACTTCGGACTT